GTAGGTTTAAGTTTATTAGATTGATCAGTGTTGCTGAACTATGAAATATTTTGGGCGCAGTGTATTTTTTACATACAGGTATAACATAATAGCTTTAGTGTTGTTATTTATTTAAACTTGAGTATAAACTTATACAAAATGCAGCAAGATATTAAAAAAACGTTTTATTGATTAAAAAACACACTATATTGGATTCATATCGGTATCGGCAGATATCCAAATTTATGATATCGGTATCGGTCATAAAAAAGTGGTATCGTGCCATCTCTAGTTAATGCACAGTCCAACAGGTGTACCTAATAAAGTGATCATGAATTCTGAACATAGTGAGCACAAAAATGTGTTTTATTCAGATAGAGTGCCTGTTGCTTTATTTCCAGACAGTCTAGACTTGGTAGCATTCATGACGTCACAGGATTACAATAAATCCACTTCTGAGAAAGCACAAGGAAGCGTTTATGATAATTAGTTTATGTGAACGTGTACTTTGAGCTTATAAAAGCATGCAATGGAGAACCGTGACATGAAACAACTGAAAATTTGACATTTGGTCAATGAAAAATAAACAGATAAATGTATTCCTATTCATGCTATTGCTACAGTCTTGTTGTTATATCATAGTAGTAACATTACTTGTTACCTAAAATAAAAATTTGTTAGGTATTTTGTTACAGTACTCACTGTATCACTTTTGTTTTACTCCATAATATTTTCTGAATTGCATTTTCACATAATTACAAGCCCAAACAAGGGCACAAATTACTACTCTAATGAAGAGATACACAAGCTGTTTCTTTAAGATTTAACACAAAGACAACAGCAAAGTTAAACACCAGCCCAGAGAGTACTTTGCAGCGGCGGCCAGTCAACTGTAGAAACAGCCACAGGTACAAACTAAGGCTTGAATGCTATAAAGGAGAAATATAAGTAATGCAGATATCTCCACTTCTAAAAAGCTGTAAACTACTCTACCATTTTCCTTCTCCAAGCACGCCAACTGGAATCAGCTGACTGTGCAGAAGTATGTGAAAAAAAATTCCATGTTCGATTTTTTTTCCCTTTTTAAATCAATCATTGTGGAAATAATTGGGAAAAAAAAATGCTTGGCATTCATTTATTAACTTTTTGATTTGTAAATATAATGTGATTACTGAATTCAGTAAAATAACGTTACATTACTGTGTTAAACAGAAATGTAATGTGATCCCATACCACCCCACGTGTCTCTGTAAACACATAAATCTCTTACACTCTCTCTTGTCTTTGACAAACATGCTGTGGCAGTTGCAGGTCAGGTTAGGTAAGTAAGCAGAAAAAAACAAACCTGCTCAGTGACTGTGAGTAAATCACTTCTCGAAAGGAGAAGGAAAGAAATATACTTGAGCCTGCTAATTCGAAGAAGACCTTACTCTGCTTAATCAAAGTTCAAAACAACTCAGGACAAGTGTCCCACTTCTCAAAACACCAAAACACAGAGAAGTAAAAGAAGGAACTGAAAGATGGGGCTTGAGTGAATTATATCCAGCTTAAACTTTCAGAACAAAGAGAGGACTATTACTTTTAACCACTCAATATGAGAAGTAAAAAAGGAGGAAGGAACTGTGTGGAAGCTTTTCTTGCATTTGGTATGAAATCATACAGGACTTTAAAAGATCCTGTAGGTACTATAGTATTACTCAAATCTTTATTGTGTGGCTCAGATGAAAAGATTGTTAATACTAAACTACTCTCCATTGTCGAGTAAATTCCCCCACATATTAATAGACCCTTGAACACTTCCTGATGTAGGCTTCCTGATGTCAGCTACTTTCTTGGTGAAGTGTATTTTACACTGATGTCATCACATGGTTATTCACGTCTCTGGACTTTCCACCAACACACCATTGTATGTGATACTTCCTACCACTTTTTTTACAGGCCTATCACAACAGTGTCTATCTTAAGTTGCCAAAAGGTATCCAGAGGCAATTTCCCCAAATGATACAAGGATAAATTTACTAATGACAATTTATAATATATTTCTAATATCATACATTAAAAACTGTTTCACTAGAGACCCTGAGATCTTCAAATTTACAGTAGACATTCGGTATTGAAGAGCCATTTTTGTAGCTATATTGTTTAAAAGAAAGTATCTATCACAATAAACTTTGAGTTTTATTTAGATTTTTTCCAAAGGTCGGAAAGCATGAGAAATGCTTGTGCTAGCTGTATGCGTAGACCTCTTTTGTAAGATGTACTTTTAAAATTATGTTGATGTTTAAATAATTTATTTTGTTTTTAGGTGTGTCTCGTGCTCACTTGGGGAAAATGCTCTGGAACAAGAGAAGCAAATAAAAATTGCAATACCTAGCATCATATTTACCTCATGTCTACTTTCATTTCCTTTTTTCGGTGTTTTTTTGTTGTTGTGCATCAATCTACATTTAGGAAAGTACACTTAAGGCCAAAATTCTACATACCATTGTCATGTGCATGAATGTCATGGTAAGTTTGGTTTTTCTATCATTTCTTTGAACTTCTTTTTTTCGGGATGGAATCATTGTACAGCATACATCTTTAATGATTTATAAAAATACAAGAATTGGGTGCACAAGTTTTCATTTGTTTTGGACTTTCTCTAATCCATTTAGAATGGCCCACCAAAAGCCCCAACCAACCCTTTTTAACTCTACTGACGATTTGTGAATTATGCCTAAAAGCCAAGTCTGTGCCAGGAAACCAACCAATTTAAATGAACTCTATGAGCCAAAACAAGCGGTCAAAGATCCAGCCAGAATTATGCCAGAAGCTTGTTAATGACTACTAAAAGCATCTGGTCGAGGTCGAGGTTTCTTGCTAAGTGCCATTTAACCAAATATTAGTGGGTATATGTATACTTTTAACCATGTGTGGATTAGAAAAAAATCATAAACAAATTCCAAGTTGTGCACCCCATTTTTGTTTTTCAAAATCATTAAAGATCTATGCTGTACAATCATTCTACCACAATAATATTTCAAAGAAATCATTAAAAGACCAAACTTACCATCACATTCATACCCACAACTGTATATATTCAGCACTGCAACAATAAGACTTATTAAACCATGGTGTTCCAGAGGTTTCTACACTGAGACAACGACTATTTATTTTCAGATGATGCAGATGATACCCGGATGTATATATCCATAAGGCCACATGACACAAATCAATTAGTTAAGCTATAGGTATGTCTTAAAAACATAAAGGTCTGGATTGCTTCTTATTTCCTACCTCTCAATTCAGACATTTGAAGTTATTGTACTCCATCTTAACAATCTTCGGCACATGTTGTCTAACCAGATACTTATTCTTTAGCCTGCAGTCATTTTTGATCAGAATATGTCCTTCAACACGCACATTAAACAAATATGTAGCACTTACTTCATTCAGCTTGCACAAAAAAAAGTCTGAAACGTGATGCTGAAAAGCTAGTTTGTACATTTAACACTTCTAGGCTGGACTTTTGTAAATCCTTACTAACAGTCTGCTCTAAACGCTCCCTGAAAAGCCTTCAGTTTCTCCAAAATGGTGCAATTTCCTGACAGAAACTATGAAAATAAACCACTGCTGTTCTCCCATGGCTTTATGTTCTAAAAGAGCACTTCACTCTCAGAATGCAGGCTTACTTAAAGTTGGTAGTTTTTTAAAAGTAGAATCGGGGCAACAGCCTTCAACTTAACAGGTCAATCTACTATGGAACCAGCTCCCAGTTTGGATCTGGGACCCTCTCTACTTTTTGATTAGGCTTAAAACATTCCTTTCTGACAAAGCATGTAGTTAGGACTGGGTCAAGTTACCCTGAACCATTCTTTAGTTATGCTGTAATAGCCTTAGGTTACTAAGGGGGTTCCTGTGATCTACTGAGTATTTCTTCTTCACTCATCGCTTTTCATTCCCTGTTCGTTTATACACCACTACTGCATTTAATATACTGTAGTTTGGGGATTTTTTTTGTCTAATATTACAGGGTCTTCATCCTACAATTAAAAATTACTGCTATTGTGAATTGGCGCTATAAAAATAATTAAATTACATTAAAAAGGCCATTCTGAAAAGTTTAATTTTAAACAATAAACCCTGTGCTTCAACAAGGAGCAGTCAAAACTACACAAATATTCAAGATTTCTGCATACTTGTTGCTTACGAGACAAACACCTTTGGTCCAATATATAATCACGATCTTTTGGGAAGCTAACCTGCTGTGTGAAATATTATGACTGGAAACAGATTCTGGATACATTTTCTAAATAAGATGGCTATGGCAAATTGAGCTGTAGGTTTTTTGACAAAAGCAACATATGTGCAGATGTGATGCAGATATTACCTGGTGGGTTGTTCCTTCGATTAGCATAAGGGTCTTCTGGCTCGGCAAAAACGCTAGACGCCATCTTGTTTTTCCGGACAGGCGGCTTCTCCTCATCTGCACCAAGCGAAATGTTGGAGCCACCACCAGGAGGGCGCAAAACCCTGGAAAGAGAGAGACGCTTCTGTTTCTTCTCACTTTTCTACCAATATTTATATGTATTTATTAAATGTTATGCCTTAGAATTAATGCTTCGCTTATACTCATATCAAGAAAATTCAGTGAATTGTGTTTTGGCTCATACAACAATGAGCGTCCCAGTGGGGGGAGTGTGTAAGAGTCACGACTATGGGTTTTTATAATCAACTAAAACAAAACTGAAAACTAACATATTAGGTTCATTCCAGGAAGGAACCATGGATCCCCTGGGCAATGAGCAGGAAGGTCAGCCAAAAATAATAATCTGCCATATGAAAAATGCGGATCTCCCTGCTGTGGGGACACTGACAATGACAAAACAAATAAACGAATACAAAGAAAACAAAATCACTAAATCGAAATGAGCAACTAACTAACTGAACTAACTGAAACTAAAAATTCTTAATGAAACATAAAATAAAAGTGAAAACAAAACTAGATTAACCCAGTAATGAATCAGACAGATTTATTATACTAAGCGATGGGATTTCTGTACATCTGCCAGATTTTAAGAGGTAAAGAAAGAAATGTAAATTACTAAATGGCTAAAATTTTCTTTACACTACATAACCTCACAACTCAGTTGCTGTTTAAAATATCATACACCGAGACAGACAGTTTAATTCACAAATACAACGATGTTCAGAATATAATTGGTGCAAAAAAAAAAAAAAAAAACAGTCTATGATGGGATTCTATTAAAGAACTCTGGGTAATGGGCAGTGGAAAATCTGCAATATATAAAGTTATTGCAATAAAGGTATAATCTACATTTATCTGAAAGTAAGAACAGTATTGATAAAAATAAACAAGCAAAACTGGAAAAATATAGTTTTAGAAAATAACAGGAGCCGTTTCAAAATCAATAATGTATGGCATGTATGGTGCACTAAAACAATTAAATATAATAATGACAATAATTATTACTAACCTGTGATTTATGTGATACATTATACTAGTTATTATGCTTAAAAATAGGCTAGGCTATTTAACAGTGTTAAATATGTGGATTTTACCTTATGCCCAGGTGTGGCATATGCGCGTTTATGGTTTGTGCATAAATGACAGGTGTCAGAATACCTTGATTCTTCAAATATTGTGAAAGTAAATATTTTTTAATCCTCATATCTCCTACTGCATTTTGTATTACCTAACTTATGACAACTGCAAAACTATATTAATACAATGTATTATGCGCACCTTTTAGCACCAAATTAATTCCAGCTGATGTGCCTTATACAGATGTGCCTTATACATGCGTAATAGAGACTATATAATTGAGGAAACTTAAATTTTCTATGCTGTACATGCGGCAGATTTTATCAATGTTATTTTGGTATACGCTTCCAAAAACCCTAAAGATAACAACAGTTTGTGTTTTTACAGTGTGATTAAAATAAGATGATTAAAATATGCTTTTGTCCAAGTGCACTGTAATTATGGTGCTACTGAATAACCATATAACTTTCTGAAAACTCATTCGTTTAAATAGTGCTAATTCATTTTTTTTTTTGTTTTTTATCTTGGTCTTAAATCAGATGTTCATTTCATCTAATAAAAGAATAAACAATACACGTGGAATTGAGTGTATGGTCTATATAATGTCAGGTGTGGCCAGCAGTAACATGGCCCTCGCCTCAATCAGACCATATGCAAGACAGACTAAAGCATGTCTTACTGCACCTCCGATAATAATCTCGCTTCCCTGATCAGAAATCTGCGGGAACCCCACCCAGCTGAATGAATATATATTTACTCCCCTACGTTTCCCAAACAATAACCACAAAATACTCAAGCAGGAAATGCAGTACAAACACACGAAGGCATAAAAGGCCTCGGAACCACGATTAGTCTGCATCAGCTCGCTAAGCATCCTCTCTCCACAAAAGGCAGCGGTACAGACGTGGTGTCTTGCTAACTAACGCTCACGTTCGAATGCTATATCCGGATGGGCAAAATAGGAAGGCGTGGTAGCAAGCTTTATAATTGTATCGTCGACGCCTTTACTTTCAAACTATGTCTAGACGCCTTAGTAACAATTACAGGCAGGGGCAACAACAAAACGGTCGTCTATTTTTCTCCGTTAGCCTGTGTTTCGCGTTGGGGTAAAGTCAGAGGATGCTGGACTTGTTGGCTTCATGGTGGATGGCTAACGGATACACAGAGGTCTGAAAGACGCCTTTACCTGGAACTGTTTTTAGCACCGGGCTCCATCCCTTGAAATGTCGTAGTAGTCGTCATTTTTGCTAAAAGATGTCGTACAGTATGTTAAGTCTATCAGTATGCAACCAAACTACACTCTCATAAGCAGTATTTCACCACCTCATCACTATCCACCCTAGCTGGTGGCTCCCAGTCAACCTGCTTCCAGTCTGAGAGGACCAGTGTGGAACTAAACGACGAAAGAGATCTCACTTCCGGCTGTTGTTTCAAAATAAAATAAGACAACTGTGGGGAAAAAAGGGCTGCGATTCTGTCGTTCAATTAGTTCACGTGAAACTGTATGTTAGTGTGCTTAGGGATATAAATTTTGCAGCTGAGGAGTTGCCCTTTGCTATCTAACCATTAACAAAAATGACACCTTCGAATTTAAGTGTGAAGCCAATTTTCATATTTCCGGTTTTCTCTGGTTAGAGCTGGACCGTATGTATATTTTGAACATGTGGATTAGAGAAAACCCAAATCCAAAATATCTTCAAATTTGTGCACCGATTTTTTGTTTTTTAAAGTCATTAAAGATGTATGCTGTAAAATATTTCCACCATGGACAAAGAGCAGTACAAAGAAGTTCGAGGATGCGTTAACGGCATGCTGACTGTTACATACTTATACATAATTTCTTCTGGGATTAATAAGTATTCTGATTCTGATTCTAAAAGCCCCAAAATACCATGATCATGCTCATGGTGAGTGTATATAAACTTTTCACCACAAGTGTACTTCTCCAAATTTTAAGGGATGTACAACAAAGTGTCCCTAAATGAGGAAATGAAGCATGACAGGAGGTGACACACAATAAGATAAATTCAAATTCAACACCATACGAAAAACATCCCATACAAAAGATGTATATTAAACTTACTCAGAGCTATTGAAGTGTGAGTCAGTCTATCTCCCTAAACAGGACCCAGTAACCATTACAGTGGCAGACATCCTAGCACTGTATAGCACTTGGCCCTGACATGATTCACACCTACTCCCTAAAGAAGTTAACTGCATTTCATGAGCATCTTGCAGCATAAATGAACCAGCTGTTAATGGATGAAACACCCAGAATGATTAACTGAAGGCCGGACATTCCTGATCCCCAGAAGGGATTGGTCCCATCCAACTACCAACCAGTAACCTGCTTCAGCAAAAAAATGGAAGGTCCTGTCAGGCATCATAGGAGCTAAGATTAAGGTTCAAGGTTCATTATTTGCCATTTGTGCATAAATCAGCAGGCACATTGGAATTCTTTTGCTCTCTCAGTCATAGTAAGCATGCTTGAAAAAATAGGCAAAAATAAACAAGACAACACAAAACTAATATAAATTGTAAATTAAAAAGTATACCCCCTTTACAAGAGGGCTGTACCCTGACTCATGCCCCCCTTGATAAACCGTAGGATGGTGGTCTCATCAGCGTATTTAATGACAAAGATGTTATCCTGGGTGGAGACACAGTCATTAGTATACAGGGTGGAGAGTTTGGGGCTGAGGCAACAGCCCGGTGAAGACCCTGTGCTGACTGTAAGCGCAGCAGACGCTCGTCCTCCCATTCTCACCACCTGTGGTCCATCTGTCAGGAAATCCAGAATCCAGTTGGGAGTTGGGACGCCAAGGTATGTCAGCTTCTTGGTCAGCTTGCCCGAACAAATGGTATTGAAAGTAGAACTGGAGTCGAGGAAAAGCATCCTGCTCTACATTCTGCTACTCTTCAGATGTTGCAGAGTGTGGTGTAAGGCTATTGCTATTGTGTCATCCACTGATCGATTGGGACAGCAAGTGTGGGCAGTGTCCAGAACCATGTGGTTGATGTGTGTGAGAACCAGTTTTTCTAGGCACTTTATGGCAACTGGTGTGAGTGCCACTGGCCTGAAGTAATTTAGGGTGTATATGTCTAGTCTTTTGGGGGCTGGTATGATTGTGGAGGATTTGAAAATGCATGGGACTAAAGCCTGGGATAATGCCAGGTTGAAGACATCAGCATACACACCAACTAGTTGTTCCCCACAAGCCTTCAGAACTCTGGGAGAAACTCCATCAGGTCCCAAACCCTTGTGGGAGTTCACTTTCTTCAGAGCTTTCAGAATCACCTAGAAGGCAGTGTCTGTGGGGTCGCTGAGGGCCTTTGAGGGTGTGTTTGTGTTCAGCATTCCAAACCTGTCGTAGAAGGTGTTAAGGGTGGAAAATAGGTGTCTGTGGTAGTTGAGGTTCTCCTGTAGTTTGTGACAGATTTGACTCCCTGCTACATAATGCGCATTATGGTTGAGGTAGTAGCCTTCAAGTTTTTGTGAGTGGGACCTTTTTGCTGCTCTGATGGACTTCCTAGCTCATTCCCAGATCTCTTATACTGCACTTGAAATCCTATACTTAGTCTAGATCATCGTCTCAAATTTAAATGAGCTGTAGGTCACTGCAGGCACTCTCATCTCATTGGAGGGCCACTTTAGTGTTTGAGTAGTACAACCCCCCCCCCCCAACCAAAAAAACATCCACAAATATTTTGGAAAATGTAGTATTTTGTTTTTTAAAATGTCAACTATTATATAGCAAGGCAAAGGTGCAAACATGAAAGCATTCTTTTTTTCTTCTTCTAACTCTTAACTAACTGAAGCCTTTCATTGAACTACCAAAAAACACTAATTGGTACTCTCTTTCTAACCAGACACGTGGCAGCACTTGTGCTATAATTTTGTTTGTATTTAACAAAATAAAAATGTAGAGATAAGTGTACACATTAGTATTTGACTGCTAGTGAAATTTGTTTTCTTTACAAATAACTCTCACTGAACTAACACACCCAAACCCTCAACATGTTTGTACTCTCTGCTCATAATGTCTTCATATTAAATAATTTTTTGCTTTTTAAAGTGCTTACTTGAACATTGCCACTCAACAAAAAACATATACTTCCTACCAAAAAAAAAAAAAAGGAACTTCAAGGGCCAAACTGCAAAATTTTATTTCTTGTCAACATACTGGCTGCAAGCGTCCCATGGGCTGCAAATTTTAGACCCCTGGTCCAGATGAATAGGCGTAGGACTCAATACATGGGCCCAGAAAGGAATTGAGAGAAAAAGCAAAGAGAAAAAACACCAGCTGCTGGAACATTGGTCAGTCTGGCCTCAAAAGTGACTACTCTACACAAGAGTAGTTAGAATTACAATTATAAGAAAGCCTATGACACAATGAGTCACAAATGGACATGAACAATCAAAGGGACCCTGAGAACAACACTAGAGGCCAACGTCTAGTGCAAAAGCACAAATGCAGGATTTACCAAGACCTGAACCCTCTTAGCCATATCATTCTTAAGACTGGCTACAGATACAGACAACAGAATGGAGCAAACGTTAACCACCTCCTCTACATGGATGACCTCAAGCTGTATGCCAGCCGCGAATGAGACATCAATTCCCGAGTAAGATCAACAGCAACATCATCGGAATGCCATTCGGACTGGCTAAGTGCAGTCAGGTGGTAAATAAAGAGAAGGAACATAGCGAGAAGTGAAAGGACTCTCTTACTAGAAAGCAAGATTGAAAATATTGAGGACAGTACTTTAGAATCCCCCAGCAAACTGGAGCCACAGAGAGACCTGTGGGAAACTATGAAATACCTGCAGTGAGTAAGGCCAGTTCTGAGGAGTCAGCTGAATGGAAAGAACAAGATTTGCGTCCAGCAGACTGTTGGGACGACAAAGATCTATGTTCAGAAGAGTGTAGTGTAGTCTAGGAACAGCAAAGATGCTGCACAAGACTCTCAAACTCCAAGGCCTCTGGTAGTGGGACTGAGCTTGAAGAATAAAGACAACAGCAGGGCAAGTGGGGACATGCATATGCACACACAGCTCATTACGTCATTCAAGAGATCATCATCTAGAAACTCTGATTACTTTTGAAAACTGACTACATATCCACTGTATTTTATTGGCTATGGAATGATGGATAATTTTGTATTTGGCTGCTAAAAGCTCTTACATCATAACCACACATGAAAACTGCTGTCTGATGATTATAATTTGAAGACGTGTCAGCATTTCCTCTTATTGCACGGAAGCAAATAACTGAGGACATTCAAACCTACAATTTTAAATGACTGCAGCAGTACCTGCAAACAGAATTTTCAGATGTGACGAAAACACACATACACGCAGATTTGTAAAAAAAAGAAGAAAAAAAAAAAAAAAGACTCATTTTATTCCAACAATACATTTTTATAATAACAACAGATGTCAGTGAATTTAAAACACCGGGTTACATCAATCAAACCTCCATCTTTAATCAAAGCCTTGGTAAGTATAAAAGCAAAAGCAGGACCAAGCGTTCTCTTCCGAAATTAAAAAACAAACAAAAAAACCCAAACAAAAACAGTTTCTCATTTCTTCGGCACATTAGACTGACTGCAGCCTACTTATTGTCTGCACTGCGCTGTTCAGACATGTTAACATGTCACGTAACATGGCAGTGTGATCAAACTCAACACTAACTGTGCTGCCTTTGAGTATTTTGTGTAAATATTCCACTGGATCGTATCAACACTGGTCATGAGCATTTGAAGACTAGGTATAACAAAGATGTTCAGGGATGAAAGGGGGAGGTAGGGATGTTCATAGGAAACAGTCTTTAAAGAGGAGAGCCTCCAGTTTGCTGTTGGAACACGTCGATTGTATCTTCATCCTCCATTTCTAGCTGCAAAAGAAAAAGACAAGAAAACTTTTTAAATATTAGAAGGAAGTACAAATGCTTTAAAAGATGGCCGAAGCCACCGTGATGCAACCCACTGGTATGTTAAAAGACTTGACAAACAACTTATTACTCAGTGAGCTGCGGTATGAACCACAGATCTTACTTCTTTCTGAATGGACTCTATGTTTGTTTCCCAAGCCCATAAACTCATCAAGAAAGTGTTCAACGAGGTCACAGAGGGAGGAAGCCAGGGGCCATTTTCCCACAATCAAATGTTTTTCAACAAAAGGATTGCTCGCCCTCTGGTGGCCATTAAAATATAAGGCACATCCATGTTGACTACACTTTTTTAAGACTTGAGGCCTGTACTATGAAGCAGGATTTGTACCCATCTCACCAACTTCAGGGTTATTTATTGATATATTCTGAAAGCTGTTCACTTCTTGCTGTTCTGGAGAAGGTTATACTCAAGATAAGAGATAAACAGGTAGAAAACTGCCTACT